AATAGATGCAGAAAGAACATGTGACAATGTACAACATCCATTCATGATAAAAAAAAAAAACCCTCAACAAAGTAGGGTTAGAGGGACCCTCTAACATACCTCAACGTAATAAAGGCCATATGTGAAGAGCCCACAGCTAATATCATCCTCTATGGGGAAAAACAGAGCTTTTCCTCTATGGTCAGGAACAAGACAAGGGATGTCCACTCTCACCACTGGTACTTAACATAGCACTGGAAGGCCGAGCCACAGGAAGCATACAACAAAAGAAATAAAAGGCATCCAAAACGCCAGGAGAGAGAGAGAGAGTCACTGTTTGCAGGTGACATGACACTCTATAAAGAAAACTCGAAAGGAGAGAGAGAGAGAGTGCTAGAACTCATACAGGAATTCAGCAAAGTGGCAGGATATAAAATCAGAGAGAGAGAGAGAGTTGCATTTCTATACACTAGCAATGAGGCAGAAGAAAGGGAAATCAAGGACTTGATCCCATTTACAATTGCACCAAAACCATAAGATACCTAGGAAGAAACCTAACCAAAGAGGTAAAAGATCTGTACTCTGAAAACTACAAAACACTGATGAAAGAAATTGAAGATGACACAAAGAACTGGCAAAATGTTCCATGCTCATGGGTTGGAAGAACAAATTTTGTGAAAAATCTATATTGCCCAAAGCAATCTACACATTTAATGCAATCCCTATCAAAATAACAACAGCATTTTTCACAGAGCTAGAATAAACAATCCTAAAATTTGTATGGAACCGCAAAAGACCCCAAATAGCCAAAGCAACCTTGAAAAAGAAAAGCCAAGCTGGTGGCATCACAATTCTGGACTTCGAGTTATATTACAAATCTGTATTGATCAAAACAGTATGGTACTGGCACAAAAATAGACACATAGATCAATGGAACAGAAGAGAAATCCCAGAAATGAACCCACAACCGTATGGTCAATTAATCTTCGACAAAGCAGGAAAGAATATTCAATGTGAAAAAAGACAGTCTCCTCAACAATTGGTGTTGGGAAAAGTGGACAGCCACATGCAAAAGTATGAAACTGGACCACTTTCTTACACCATACACAAAAATAAATTCAAAATGGATAAAAGACCTAAATTTGTGATACAGGGAAGCATTAAAATTCTAGAGAACACAAGCAGTAACCCCTTTGACATTGGCCATAGCAACTTCTTACTAGATATGTCTCCTGAGGTAAGGGAAACAAAAGCAAAAATAAATTTGGGGACTTCATCAAGATAAAAAGCTTCTGCACAGTGAAGGAAATAATCGACAAAGCTGAAAGGCAACCTACAGAATGGGAGAAGATATTTGCAAATGACATATCCAATTAAGGGTTAGTATCCAATGTATATAAAGAACTTATAAAACTCAACACCCAAAAAACAAATAATCCAGTTAAAAAAATGGGCAGAAGACATGAATAGTCATTTTTCCAAAGAAGACATCCAGATGGCCAACAGACACATGAAAAGATGCTCAAATCACTCATCAGGGAAATGGAAATCAAAACTACAATGAGATACCATCTCACATATGTCAGAATGGCTAAAATCAACAACACAAGAAACAACAGATGTTGGTGAAGATGTGGAGAAAGGGGAACCCTCTTGCAATGTTGGTGGGAATGCAAACTGGTTCAGACATGCTGGAAAACAGTATGGAGGCTCCTTGCAAAGGTGTAAATAGGGGCACCTGGGTGGCTCAGTCATTAAGAGTCTGCCTTCGGCTCAGGTCATGATCCCAGGGTCCTGGGATCGAGCCCCACGTCGGGCTCCCTGCTCGGTGGGAAGCCTGCTCCTCCCTCTCCCACTCCCCTTGCTTGTGTTGCTGCTTTCGCTCTCTCTCTCTGTCAAATAAATAAATAAATAAATAAATAAAATCTTAATAAAAAAGGTAAAAATAGAACTTCACTATGATCCAGCAATTGCAGCACTAGGTATTTACTGAAAGAATACAAAAATACTAATTCAAAGGGATACCTGCACCCCGATGTTTATAGCAGCATTATCTACAATAGCCAAAATATGGAAACAGCCCATTTCTGACTGATGAATGGATAAAGAAGACATTGTGTGCACACACACACACACACAATGGCATATTAGTCATTAAAAAGAATGAAATCTTACCATTTGCAACTACTTGGAGATAGAGAGTATTATGCTAAGGGAAATAAGTCAGTCAGAGCAAGACAAATACCTTATAATTTCACTCAAGTGGAATTTATGAAACAAAACAAATGAGCAAAGGGGAAAAAATGGAGAAAGAGACAAACCAAGAAACAGACTCTTAATTATAGAGAACAAACATGTTTACCAGAAGAGAAGGAGGTGGGGATGGGATAAATATATGGTGGGCATAAGGAGGGCGCTTGTGGTGAGCACCGGGTATTGTGTGGAAGTGTCCAGTTACTCTATTGTACACCTGAAACTATTATTACATTGTATGTTAGCTAACTGGAATTTAAATAAAACTTAAATAAAAAAGGAAATGTTCAGTAGGCAACTGCAACTTAGAATAGTAGTTGGGGTTGAACCCACAGAGATTTAAGGGTAGAACTGTTGAGTACAGCCACTGTGCAACTTCCTGGGGCATTTACACTTACCACAATATGAATAGTGGCACTTTGGTGGGTTCTCAATATTTGGTGGTGATTTAAACCATGAATGGGATAAGATCACTCAGGAAGTAAGTATAAATAGACTCAGGAAAGAAGTGAAAAACAATGCTACAGAAATAGCCCTGGGACCAGCTATTTTCTGGGATATTCTGGCAACACTATATAGGGCTTCATTCTTTAGGATTGTCTCTTCCCTCCAGCTCTTCCCAGACAAGGCTAATTTAGTACTGATATAAGCACATCAAGGGGCTGGGGAAAAGTTGGTTTGATCTTCAAGGCAAAGGATGATTCATGTTTTGCATGACATTTGCCCTTCCTTCCACCTTGCCCTTCTACCTATTAGAAATAATCACAGAATATAGTCTTTGGGCCAGTTTCTCTGGGCTCCACTAACCCATAGTCTAACACTCAAAGGATTGTTCTGACACCTGAGAGATTTCTTTGTATTCCGCCTCGGTTCCTGGGCTTGCTAAATCTGTCAGAGAGGTAGCCCAACTTATAAGCATAGATCTAGATGTTCTGAAACATTTGGATGGAATCACTTCCCATTTTTCAAATGGACTCTTTGGCACTGGCCTGGAAGGGTCACGCATCCCCTTGCTTTGCCTTTCCAGTTCTGATTTCTAGAGTCTTAGTGAAATGTTTTTCCTCCTTTACCCACAGTTCTCAAGGCAGAGTTCCTGGAGATGAGAGTTGAGGCCTCCGGTATGTAGTCTCCACTCCTGATTACAGAACCTTGTAACACGTAAGCCTTCTTTATGGGATCTGAGCTTTTGAGGACTAAAATATCTTGTGGGTCCAGAGGTTAGGAACACATTCCATGTCTCAGTTCATTAACCTATAATTATGTGACCCTTAAACTTACTACCTTCCAATTCTGAGGTTCCCTGTGTTTTTAAGTCTCCTTCCTCTTTCCTTTCTTTCTTCCCCCAACCAAATTACAGTGTAGTTCATTTGGAATCCTAGACTCTGACATTTGTGGCAAGTACATTTCGTTCTCTTAGCCTCAGTTTCCCAATCTGTAAAATTAAAAGTTTGGAGCCCTGTAACTCTGACATCGGTAACCTCTCTTTTGGTATTATAGCAAGTACCATGAGTCCACTTCAGTATCATGTAGGGACTTCACACCTTCAGACCAAATCACTATTTAGGTCTTTTCCCCTGAACCTCTATCCTTAGTCCTGTATATTTGTTTAATGAAAAGTACTTTCACTTCCATTATTTCATTTGATCCATATCAGATGCCAGAATAAAGAGGATAACATATATTTTAACTTAGCAAATAAAGGAACTGAGGTTCAGAGGGGATAAATTAACTTGCTAAGGTCACAGGAGCTACAGAGATCATAGAATTTATTTTTCTCTACCTAGGAGTTATAATTGTTTGGCCAGCAGATTTCTGGCATGACATGAACCAGTATACATATAAATGAGATCTGGGTATCTGGAGAAGAGCTTTCCATTTGTTCCCCAGCCTCCCTTTACTTCCTATCACTGCCAGTCCTCAGGGATCCATGGGTTGATAAGCTTTTCCTTATTATCCCTTATGGAAGTGGACTCCCAAAAAAGAAATTTGGAGTCAGTATAAGGCCATAAAGGCAGTGTCTATGTTGTAGGTGGGTAGTCTCAAAGGTATCAGGCTTCATCTTCTGTAGACTTTTGGGGGATTACAATTGAGGTCAAATGCACAGTTTCCAGCCCTGATTATAGCACCATCTTAGACCTGTTTCATGGGATCTAAGTTGTAAGGGCCTTTTCCTAGCCAGCCTCTATTGCTCAGAAGATTAGCTACCAATTATGTAATTACCTACCTACCAAGATAGGCCTCACTTCTCAGTGGCTGTTAAGTACTTGACCAGTCCTAGCTAATTACCTACTCTCTTCTTTCCTTTTCAGGTTTTAAAATCCTTGGCCTCAGGGGACCCTTCACTGTTCTGGAAGGGTCTTCTTCAAACTCTTCTGTGCTGAGTCATTTTGTGCTGAAGAGAGCAGCTTCTTCCTGGCCCTGCACCTTCAGGCTCTAGGATGCTATAAAATAAGGGGCACATGTCTTAGACACAGGTTTATTTCTCTTATGTATTCTGTCTTTGTTCCCTCAGAAGGTCTATGTTGAGCTCCTATATGATTGTGAATGGCTGAACTCCCTCAAGCCAGACTGCAGAAACCAAGCTATCTACTGACCTGAGTCGAAGAAAGGAGCTTAGTTTTCAACTCTTCTCTGAATTTCCTGTCTCCTCAAAAGACCATCAAACTCTGAAATATTTGGGACTAAAGACTGATCTCAGAGGTCTTACCCTGAAGTAAAAGCTACTTGAGTTGGGGCCATTGCTTGCCTTGGAAGTAGAAGAGTAGGAATGTTTGCCAAACATTGGTGAATCTTAACATGTCTCTTACTGAGGATAATGACCCTGGCACCAGATTGGAGCTCTGGCACTGCAGTATATTGCCAAGAACCTGTCTGTTCCTGTTGGGCCAGACAGCATGGGTGATCCCAACCACAACTTCATGTGAACTCAGGACGGTGGCCTTTCTGTTTTTGCATAAAACCACTTAGGACAAATCTGCAAAGAATATTTTGCATGTTGAAGCCTAGGTCTGTTTGAATTATTTTTCCTCCTATTTTTTTCCAGACAGCTTAATTTCTAAACAATCAAGAAGGAAACACAAACTGAAAACAGTTCTTTAAAAAAGGTAGACTGTATCTGTCCTGCAGAAGTTCCATTTTTGGGTCAAATACTGGGAAAAATTGTTAAGATGGATTGAGGTGAGGCAGCTGGCACTGTTGCTTCATGTTTGCCTTCTGCAGATAAGCTTTTATCTCCTCCAAGAAGCAACTCCTAACCCAGTGTCCGTGGATTCAGAAACTCCATGAAGCTTCTGAAATGGTATGCAAAATTCCATGACAATGTATCTTTTCTGGGGAGATGGTCCATAACATTCTACTGAATTTCAGTTGGGCCTGTGACCCAATAAGGGTTAAGAACCATAGCACTTGAGATAAAAAACTCTTTACAACCCATAAAGTATTTGATTGGAAGGCCTTCCAAAATTATTTAGTCTAATTGCCTAGTTTACTATTGGAGAAACTGAGGCAGAGCAAGTTATCAGCCATGCCTAAACAAGTACCTAGGTCCCTGGGCTCCTGTACAATTTTCTTTCCGTTATACGACACTTGTCTAACAAGGGGCCTTATGATTGGTGGCTTTAGTGGTCATCAGTTTGAGTGTTGGGCTTTTACCCTCTTTCTTGAGCCTCCCATATTTGTTATCAAGTGGAAAACTTTCAGACACAAGCTCCTGGTGTTCCATTTGCCATTTCCGTCATTAGAAAGGAACTAAAACACAACCTGTATAGTGACTCAGAAATCTGAATAGACATTTCTGATTCTTGTTTATTGATGGGAAGCTGCTGGAGAAAGTGTCACTGCTTGTGTTCCCATGCTCTCGGGCCATAACCTGTCTTTAGGGTCTGTGTAATTATAATATGGCCAAATGTGAGAAAAAGGGCTTTGCTACATGAACCCTTCTAGCAATACCTTCACTATGGAACTGAGAGAGAAGCATAGACATGGGTGGAGGGAGGAGAAGGAGAGAAGAAAGGAGAGGGAGATGGAAGAAGGGGAAGAGAGAGAGAATACACACATGCCCAAACCAACTCTGAGATGCCTTTGAAACAATGTTACTGAAAGATGATAGCCACTTTCAAGACAGAACTCAACATGATCCATTGGTGAATTAGTAACATGTAGGCCTTTTGGAAGTAATCGAGTAGACACTTGATGCTATTCCCAATAAAGACATACCCAGGTGGCCACGTAAAACTCTCTCAGCTCTACCCAGTCTCAAAGGCCAAGTTAATAAGAACCAGGGACAAGAGAGCCAAGTGATCACCATTCTACCTGAGGCTCACCCCCAAAGAAAGTTGCTGTGAGACTCCTGGCCTTACCCAGGAAGTGCTTGTTGAGCCCCGTTCTCAGAGCTGTGGCCTCTCTGCTTGCTCTGCCCCATTAGATAACTAACTAAAGCAAGTAGGTGTGTAGATTTTGGCCACAGAAGCAGTGGCCAATGGGGCTTCAGTACATTTGAAGATGGTAGGGACATGATTTCACTCTTGTTTTCTTGGGGTAGGGAAATACCAAAATCACCACTACAAATATTGAAAGATTATTGAGAACCAGAGAAAGCCACTGCAGTCCCAGTTGAATAGATGTCCCAGAAATGTGACCATGAGATTACTGTGTGTTTTCTGGGACATAGAGCAAGAGCCTGGCCTAGAAAGTTGGGGCTACCAGGCTGGCTGGAGACCAGGAAGCAGTAGCTGGATAGCTCTGCCCCTGCCCTGGGCTATACCTAAAGAATGCCCAAAAATGAACCTCAGTGCCTCCCCCTTTTACGCTTTAATTTAAAGAGCAAAAGCTTCTGTGGTGAGGCTCACTGTCATGGAATGAAACTGGCTTGGCCCAGGCTTGATGGATGAATAGTCATTCAGAAGAGGCTATGGGAATGGGGTGATAATTGAATAGTGGCAACTATAGGAAATTATCTGCATGCCTTGGCCAGCAGGTTAGAGAAACTGGCAATGGATGAACCATAAACCTTAAACTGACAGTGGTAACATTTATTAAGCACCTACTAAGTTCTAAGTGCTTCATATACATAATCTCCTTTGTCCTTACAACAATGATGCAAGTAGATGCTAGTCCCTCATTTTACAGATAAAAGAATTGTGGCCCAGAAGGCTAAAGTAACTGGCTCAGGGTCTCACAGAAAGTAAATAACAGGACTGTGACTCAAATCCAGGCCTCTCCTACTCTGTACCCCATGATGTTTTCTCTTTACCACACAGAGGCTACATTACTGGAACTGGATGACTGACTTTGTCTGCCTAATAAAATATTAAAAAGCAAGCATTTGAAGGGAAGTAGGGCAGGTCTAGTTTACAGGGGAACAAAAACTGGACTGCAAGAGATTTCTGAGTTGGGCTTTCTCCTAACCTTCCATATACTCATTTGGTAATGTTTTAAGAAGGATCATTCAATTTTACCTTGTGAAATGAATTTATTTTTTAGTTCGTAGTTACTAAGTCTTTGGCTTAGCTGTTTTTCAAAGAGAAAAGGGTCCTTGTATATGTCTATGTACTTTACCATGGTTGTAACATGTTTATTTTCAGTCCAAGAGACTGAAGACATCCACACATACAGTTTGAGAAGGACAAAAGGTATCGGTGCCTCTCTGGTACTTAATACCTTGGGGTCAAATCCTTACAAGGTTTTCTGTGGTGAGAACAAAAGTTAAGAGATAATTTAGAATAAGAAATATTTTTGAAGTTTTTGCTTTAAAAAAGGTGGGGAGGTTGTCCAGCCACAGGGTGGGGGTGTGAAACTCAGCACCCGACTTCAGTAATAAAACAACATCATATAGAAATACTCTAGTATTTCTAAAATAATTGTTTTAGGATACTTCCCTTTTTTAGAAGTTCCTTGATTATGTAATAACTAGAATAAAGTAGTAGAGGAAGATGTGTCTCTGTGACCAGAAAAAAATTGCTTTCAAAAGAATGTAGATCAATGATACTAGTTTTAACATAGCTGCAAGCAAATAGCCTTGACACACTACAAGCCCAAAAAGCTTTAGGAGCACTTAAAAATTGCAGACAGAAGCAACATACCTTGAAGAGATGTTTTTGATGAAGAAAAGC